GCAAGAGTGAGGGGGGAAGATGTGGTATGTGGAGCTAAGTGGGTGTGGGAAAGAAGAGGAAGAGGAGAAACAGAAGGCAAAAAAAAAAAAAAAAAAGGTGCTGAGGGAGTCTGCTGTTGGATTGGCAAGGTCTCGAGGAAGCTGTGTGCCGGTGGCTTTCTAGCCAGGCAGTGTGGCACAGCCCATCGAGAAGGGATAGATATGGCGCACACAGCTAGGTGGGCAGGAGAAAGAAAAGGAAGGAAGGGAGAGAGAGATAAGAAACTAGATTTTAGAAAAAGAGAGAGAAAGGCACACACGGCCAGGTGGTCAGGAGAAAGAGAAGGAAGGTAGAGAGAGACAAGAAACTGAGGGAGGGGATAAAAGCCAGATACCAGGTAGTTGGGAGGAAGTAAGGAAGGAAAGTAGAGAAAAACAAGAAATCGAGGGAAAAAAAAAAAGGAAAACTCCAAAGGAGCCCACTGGAAGCAGGTCCCCAGCTGAGCTACAGCTGCATACCCCGTCAAGAAGGAGGGGAGCTGGCACAGAGTGCCAGGTGTTCAGGAGAAGGGGAAGGAAGGAAGGTAGAGAGAGAAAAAACTGAGAAAAGGAGAGGGGAAAAAAAAAGCCCCAAGACAGCCCTCTGGCTTGGTGGTGTGGACCAAGGAAGGGGCTCCCCAGCCGAGCGGCACTGCACAGCCTGTCTAGAAGGAACAGATGATACACTGCACCAGGTGTTCAGGAGAAAAGGAAGGAAGGATGGTAAATAGAGACAAGAAACCAAGAGAGAAAAAAAAAAAAAGCCCCAAGGGAGAACTCTAGATTGGCACCTCGGATTGGGGATGTGGCTCCCCAGCTGAGCAGTACCGCACAGCCTATTAAGAAGGAGAGGAGATGGCACCCGGAGCCAGGTGCTTGAGAGAAAGGAAAGGAAGGAGGTGAGAGAGAGAGAAGAAACCAAAAGAAGCAAAAAAAGCAACAACAGCAACAGAAAACTGGCACCTAAGGAGCCGGCTGGTGTGGGCAGGGCGAATTTAAGCAGCAAGCAGCTAGCACATCCCTGGCCAAGGACACAACCCTGCTGGAAAGCAGCAAAGGCTGAGCAGGGGGGAGAAGGGTGGGTGGTGGGAAAGCGTGTATCTCTGGTTACTGACTGCTCTGTCTCCTTCTGGGAGCTCAGTGATGCTACCTTCCTGTACACCCTGTCCGCCTTTCTTGGTGGCTGAATGGCGCAAGATGGTGAATCTGTGCCTTGTTAGCTGATAGGGGACCTCCACTCAGTAGCTCCCCTCACTCTCTGTTCTCTATCATTTTCATATTCCATTTGGTGCTTGATTGAGTCCTTTATCCCTTTGTTTGATGCTTAGGGTTCCAGGGTTGACGTTTGTCTCTGTTTTACTTAGTTTTTTGGGTCTTTGCTGTGGAGGGACGGTGTGGTGCTTCTGTCTGTAGCACCATGTTGGCTTTGTCTCCCCAAACCAAGTTGCAGAATGGTATGAAGATCCTATTTTTGGTTAGAAGACACTATGTACATATGTGTTCATAATATATAAATAAAGTCCTGGAGACCACACACCAGGCTGAGAACAGTGATTACCCCTGGGCAGTGGAGATGAAGGTACTGAATGAGTGGGGGCTTCTTTTTTACTTGATGCACTCCTATAAACTTTTACTATTAAAATTATTTTTGTGTGTGTGGAAAAATATATTTATCTAAAACTGCCATTTTTAAGTGTACAATTCAGTGGCATTGATTACATACAATGTTGCACAACCATCACCACTATTTCAAAAGTTTTCCATCACTCTGAACAGAAACTCTACCTATTAAGCAATAGCTTCCCATCCTTTACTATTTTAATAAAGAGTATGCATTACTTGCTGGAAAAAAACCTAGTAAATGCTACAGATTTCTGTGTTGCTGTCACTGCATAAACATTTGTTGAAAGGACAAATGCCCTTGGCCACATGTCTCTTCCTGTCATTTCCCTGCTCATGCCTTTTGTTGACAGCTTCCTGGCCTTGGCTCGATCACCTGTCTGGTTTATCTGGGCAGGTGCTCCCAAGTGCCCCCAGGGCTGTAGCTGTGCCTGACTCCATGCCTGGCCGCTGGGCTGGGACCACTAAAAGGTTCCACTTTGCCCCTCTGCAGCTGCCGGGGGCGGCCTCCACTAGAGGACAGCTGGTGGCGGGGGTGGCTTGGCCTGCCCACTTCTGGAAGCCACCACCTGTCCCCTATGTCCCTTTTCACTCAACTTTATCCACACAGAAGTTTTGGGGCTCACAAGGAACCCAGCAGGAGTTGCCCAAGTCTGCAGGCTCATCCCAGGGGACTCCTGCCTGCTCTCGGGAGGAGGGGGGGGTCCTCAGTCCTCAAAAAGGCTTTGCCCTCATGTGGGCAGGCGAGCAGGGTGAGCCCACAGGGCCCAGGGCTTGCCGGTTCTTACCAAATTGATCCAGTCAATGTAATTGGAGACTCGTGTGAAGACAGAGGGCTTGTGGTAGTAGTTGCAGCCCAGGGAGGACCCGAAGCTGACCACACCGTGCACTTCCCACTTGCCATTATCTGCTTGGCAGTTCAACGGTCCCCCGGAGTCCCCCTGAGGAAGGCCAGAGTTGTGTCAGGAGGGACCTGGAGGCCTGGGTGAGGTGGTGGGAGAGGAGGGGGCTGCCCATTAGAATCCTGTGTTTTCCTTGTTCTCAATTCATTTATATTGCTCTGCTGTGGGCTGCCATATCCTCTGAGGCCGGCCCTACTGGTCACAGCTCAAGATGGCACCATGGTACCAAGAGCTAACGTTTATTAAGTCTTTTTGAGTGCCTGGAACTAAGCCAAGCACTTTATATGCCTTATTTAATCCTCACAAAAACCTATGAAGTAAGTATTGTTAATATTCCCTGTTTTACTGATGAGGAAAAACTGAAGCTCCCAGAGGTTTACTTCTCCAAGGTTGTATAGGCAGTAAGTGAAGGAGCTGAGACCTGGTCCCAGAGTTAAGACCCCATGCTCTTAACCACCATTGGATATTTCCAGCTCTGGCTGATGGGCCGGCACAGTGCAGACCAATATAGTCTGTGCTGACGAGGGAGCATGAGGAGGGAGTTTTCCTGAAGCCAGTCTATAAGGCCAGAGAGTGTAGGGCACACTGTGATCTCAAGGGCATGTGGAAGTCCCCCACTGTTAGCAACAGAGCACCTTCCTCCTCTGTCCACTCAGCTTCAAAGTCTACCATACAGCCATTCCTTCTGGCTAGGCACTATCTCCAGGATAGCTTCTGTGGTAGCTACCTTGAGGGGACACTTTGGGACATTACTGGGTTTAACTCAACAGATAAAGTAGAATTCCACTTAGAATGGAGTCCCTAGGTGATGCAAATGGTTAATGCAACTGGCTGCTAACAGAAAGCTTAGCATTTCGAGTCTACCTAGCAGTGATTCAGAAAAATCACTGGGTGATCTATTTTCAAAAAATCATTTCAACTCTGACACACATGGGGTCAACATGAGTAGGAATTGACTCAATGACAACTGGTAACCCAGAGAATACTTCCCCTTGACTCCCTTCCTATGCAGAGGAAAGAAGAAAGATGACTGTAATGAGAGAGTTGATGAGACTCAAGGAAGGACTTCCTGGCAATGACGGTTGTGGACACTATGAAAACCTCAAAACATCTTCTCTGGAGACTACAAGGACAAAGGCCAGTTGCTCAAATGTCTGGAACTGTTTCTGGGTGCTTCTGCCAGGAGGTGGGAGGATGGACACTATGACCCCTAGACACTCCCCACCCTCAGCCACATTTCATTTTGAAGAATGGTCATCTGACTCTGTACTCACTTGGCAGCTGGCGGTCACACCATCGCCACCAGCACAGACCATATTGGTCTTCACGGAGCTGCCCCACCAGCCAATGCGGGAGCATGTGGCATAGTCCACTACCAGCAAAAGGCCCTGCTGCAGGATGTCAGGAAGAGCCCCATTGGCTGCAAGAGAGCAGAGAGGTGTTACAGGAGCAAATGGTCTGCTGAGGAAAAAGGAAGTAGTGGACACCCACTGTGCTTTCTGCCTAGCACCTCTCTTTCTAGCCCCGTTTACTTCCCTCTATCCATAGAGTTGCAAAGGCAGCAGCCATGCTTGCCTATACCGTGTCCTCACAGCTGATTGGTCAGTGTTCTGGCCACTGGTGATTGGTTCAGGGGTGAATGCCTGACTCAAGCTAAGCCAATGAGTTCCTTCCCTTGGGAATTTGAGATTGGGACGAAGGGATCCCAGCCAGACGGGATGTAAACCTGGGAGCTGTTGGCAGTGGCTGCCATTTTCTTCCATGTGGAGAAGAATAAAGAAGATTCTATAAGGAAAGAGAGACTGAGAAAGGTTTTCTAGGCTTTTATGGCCTTCCAGCTCCTGATTCTAGGCTATTCCTGAAGCCTGCTTCTTCTCTGGCCTTGGGTTGAGACCCTTATAACAAAGGTAAAAAGTCCTTATAACAAAGGTAACAAATTCCACTCTTGCTTAGCTGGATCCATGAGATGTCATAATTACGCGATAAAAATGACAGCAAGCCTCCTGATATTTGGAGTCCCCTCGATGGGAAAAATATTCTGGTTTGGTGAAAGGTAACAAACCAAACCTGTTGCTGTCAAGTCACTTTTGTTTCCTCTAAAGACCTTTAAATGATGAGTGGGCAGAGAACCCCTGACCATAGAGGGCTGACATCGTCTCTGTCCCCTCCCAAGTCTTGGGGCGGGGGGGTGGGGTGCGGTTCTCAGCTCCCACTTACTCTGCAGCCTTCCCCAGCCAGTGACATAGCAGGGATAGTTGTTGGCCAGAATGGTGCCGGCAGGCGGGAGGTTGGCCAGCTTGATCTTGTTACTCAGGGAGACAGAGTTGGCTAGTTTGAGCAGAGCGATGTCGTTCCTGGGTCAGGAAAGAGGCAGAGCACAAGGACAGCGTTGACTTTTCCTGCCTTAATTTTATTTCTGATTCTAGCCCCAGCTGCAAGTACTGAACCCCTCCTTAGCCAGGCTAATCGTGAGTCTCCCTTCTCTCGGGGCTAAGAGGGATTGGAGGAGCTGTGGTTAAATCCACAGGATTGCATTCTGACCCCGATGGAGCTTGGAGTCCTTCATTCCTCTAAACCGTTTTAGGAGACGATTTAGAACAGGGCTGGCAAGTAAATTTTGTTTTGAAATGTCGGCTCTGATGAATTAGCCATGGCTGCCAGGGGTGCTGTGTGTCTCTGTGTCCAGTATCCAGAGTCCAGTGCCTAGCATGGCATACGACACCTGGGGTGCGGGGGGCTCCGTAAAGGGTTAGAGGGTGGGGACTGGAGGGTACGTCAGCAGGCTGGGGAATAACTACTGTGGGGCTTCAGAGAGCTCTGGAACCCTGTCTTCTTCCTGTGTGTATCACCCCAGGCTGTCTCTGACAGGGTATCAGGAAATCTTTGAAAATGTAAAAGGCCTTGTTTGAGGGAGGCACGGAGAACTGAAGGCAGGAGAGACTGTCCTACTCCACTGATAGTTGTGGGGCCTGCAGCACCCACCTGGTGTCACCAGGGCTTGTCATGGAGTAGATACACGGTCAGTGAGTGCCCAGGGTGGACTGCAGCTTAACTGGCAGGAGACCCAGGCCTCCCCAGTCACATCCCCACCCTAGGCGTCTGTGGTGCAGGTGGGGCTGGCTCCACCTCCACATGGTCAGAGCTCCTTTTTCTCTTCCTAGAGAAGGAGCACAGGTGGAGGTGGGGCTGAGCCCACTGCCTCTTGGGCGCCTCTCACCCCTACCCTGTCTCCCCCCAACCTAAGCACACCCAGATGCTTGGCAGAAGGTACCCATTGGTGACATAGTTGGAGTTCCAGTCCTTGTGCACCACAGACTTGGAGACCGAGACAGCCAGGGAGCCAGCCTCCTCCGTGGACAGGCTGTGCCGGCCGAGCAACACGCGGTAGGTCCTGGAGGAGCTGAGGAAAGAGGGCCCAGCAGAGAGAGTCAGCTCCAGCTGTCTTTTCCTCTGTTTGTCCCTCATGGGCAGGGGCAGCCCACCCCAGTGGTCCGGCTTTAGCGGCTTCCTTTGGTTGATGCTAGGGATGGGCCTAAATAAGCAATTGCTACGTGAGCCACTGTTGTTAGTTGCCGTTGTGTTGATTCTGACTCATGGTGATCCCATGTGTGCAGAGTAGCACTGCTGCATAGGGTTTTCAAGCCTGTGACCTTTGGAAACAGATCGCTAGACTTTCCTTTCGAGGTGCCTCTAGGCGGGTTTGAACAGCAACTTTTTGTTTAGTAGTCCAGTACTTAACCATTTGTGCCACCCAGGGACTCCTCGTGAGGCACTACTTGGGGCTATTATGTGTAGACATAATATCAGTGGTGTCACTAGGGTTGGTGTTATCCAGTGTGGTAACTCATGGTGTCACCCCCCACCCCGGGCCTACTCCCATATCAGACCGTACGGAATCCTTAGTAATGTTTTTTGTACTAATGTACTAATGTTTTTTGTACTCATAAATCATAATTCCTGTATATCACTCCTTATTTTCCTCTAATTACTACTTCATTCTCAAAAAAGTTATTGATACAGATTCACAAATACTGATTACCACAATATCGTAGCTAAAACACCAGAACATTTTTTTTTCTTTTTTTACTTTTTTTTAATTGTACTTCACGTGAAGGCTTACAGAACAAATAGTTTCTCATGAAACAGTAGTACACATGTTGTTTTATGACATTGGTTAACAACCCCA